GTAGGTTTTGGCTTTGGGCTTTCTTGTTTGTCGTGGTAGTTTTGGGCGGCTACTCTGGAGTAGGCCCCGATTCCCGCCATGAGATTTAAATCTCAGGAATCTATTGGTGGTTGGTCGGCCATCTTTGGTGACGTCATCTCCCAAGATGGCCACCGCGAAAAGGGCGCGAAGTCTCCTTCGGCCTTTTCGGTGGGTTTTTGGTGGGGGCAGCCCTCTCTTACCGTGTCTTCGTCGGTGTAGTCGGATTCGTCTTCATCTTCCTCACTCGCTGCTTCGCAGCCCTTGATCAGGCTCCGGAGTTCCGCGATGAGGTCGGTGTTGCTCTGAGATGAATCTATCAGTTTCAGAAATCTTTCTTTCAGGTCGTGCATCTCTCCTTTCGGGCTCTCGTGTTCCTTCCACCCCTCGTTGCATCTGGCCGGGGTGCATGGGTAGTGGAGTAGGCTGTTCGTCTCGGGTGCCTCTCCTTGCGTGGTTTCGGGTTGGGCAGGTCGTTCTGCCATCTTCTTGGTGAATGCCCTGGTATTCACCCTGTCCGTCGTGGTCCTTTGCATGATATGGAGTATTAGGATTGGGCTGTTAAACCATCCTCTGCTACCATATTGTGAATGTGCTCAAGGATCACGCCCAATAACTCCACAGGCAAGTATTCATCAATCCAGATATAGTTTATTAACAAGGCATCTTATCATTACAGGTACAATGCTGGAACTGCTGCTGGACCGCATGGCTGACCCTTAAGTACCCCTTGGGCATGGCTAAGGTAAGGAGGGGTTATTGGGTTAGGGTAGACCTTGGGGGTTGGCTTGCCCGGCCCCCCCTGCTTCCAGCTCTGGTTCAGAGGCAAGGCATTTATTCCTGACAGAACATTAATTATGTCCCACATGTCCTGGCCTGATATCTTAACCACTATAGCAAATTGGTTTTATTCGTACATTGTTACAAATTATAATGTCAACTCACTAGTCACCAAGAACTGATAACTGCAATATTTTGTAAGCAGGTAAAATTGTTTCTTTTCTTTCTTTATGGAATTTAATATTGAAAAGAAATAAAAATACAGGGGTGGAGTGGGGAGGAAAGCATTTTAGCAATAGCAATAGCACTTAGACTTATATACCGCTTCATAGTGCTTTTACAGCCCTCTCTAAGTGGTTTACAGAGTCAGCATATTGCCCCCAACAATTTGGGTCCTCATTTTACCCACCTCAGAAGGATGGAAGGCTGAGTCAACCTTGAGCTAGTGAGATTTGAACTGCCGAACTGCAGCTAGCAGTCAGCTGAAGTAGCCTGCAGTACTGCACTCTAACCACTGTGCCACCTCGTCTTAATTATGAAAAAAGCATTCATATAGGCTCCTCCCTTTCATTCCTACCACCACCACCTTTTCCTTCTACTCCAGATGTATTCTGAACTTACTTAAATTTTAATTATTAGTAATTGAAAAAATTAAAATCAAGGCGATTGTGTGACCTTGTGTGAAACTCAACTGGTATTAATCAAACCTTGTTTGGAGGTTTGATTCATAAGACACTAAGATATAAAATAAGCTGAGAGGGGAGGAGATAACTTTTATTATTATTTTTTTTTTACTGTGAGTACACTGGCATTACATTAAAAATGAAATTCTGTTGCCTGCTCTCAAGAGAAAGTTTGGGATTGTACGCCATGTACAATCTGGCTAGGCTCATTCCAGACATGGTTGCCCATGGTTGCAACTGCAAAGGGCCTGAAAAAGGGCATCTGTCCACTGCCCTGTGCAAAGCATTCCCCTCAGGAGCTCCCACTCAATCCATGCTGCGACAGCACAAAGTGACCCTCATATATATGGTTAAGCCAAGGCAGTGAGCCTGATTCACAACTTGTAAGCCCAGAGTTTTATGGCACCTAAATATATACTATTATTTTGTATATATTGAATTTTGTGAATTTTGTGAATTCCCAACTCTATATCATGTGCATGGGTTTGACAATTAGTGTGGTAATACCTTAGAGCAGGGCTGTCAAACTCACAGCCCGCGGGCTGGATGCGTCACACCCAGTTTAGCAAAGCGGGGGAACGTCCCGATACGTCATGTGATGTTGCTGTGATGATGTCAGTTTGACACCCCTGTTTTTGAGGAAATGTATGTCACGATGTGCTGCAGCTTTTCATATATCATAGATATTGATAAGCATATATCAGTGCTGGAGTGAAAAGTAATATGGAAATAGTTGAATTGCATGACAGTGAAGCAAAAAAAGAAAAAAGCGTATTGTATGTAGTATGCAAATTATTTATTATTTTTATTAACTTCTAATTGAACTTCCATTCCTTATGAAAGAAGAAGTTAGCCTAGGGGCCTAAAGGAGAGAATTAATATTTTATTTATTTATTAAATTTATATCCATATTTGACTCAAATCATTCTGTAGTGAAAAAATTATTACTATTCTGCAGTTCTGGAATATGAATCTTAGCTTAGCGCAGAGACACCCAATAAACTGAACAGGAAATTCGGTTCTCTAATACAGTGAAATAAATATCTCTCACCTTAAGAGGCAAAGTAATGTGTATAGTTTAAATAAAATGTATTAAATAAAATTTTATACACTATATTATGTAAAATGTTTTAGAAAATGACATCCATTTTCATTTGCCCAACAGAATACCCATGATTTTGAATAAGTCTTTTCTACAACAGTGGGAAGCATTTTCCAAGCAATACTAACTGTGAAATATAGTGTACCTTTAACTTTTAAGGATGCTCATTTGAAATCCAAATAGTGTTCATGCAATGTTAATAAACTAGTTTTATTTAGCTGGCCTGTTTCAGCTGTGCCTGCATTCACTATCTGTAACGTGACTTTGTGCTGACATTTATTGCTGTGAATTAAATTGATGATCCAGTGAATCTGGAGCTAGTTCCCTGACATTTTTTATTTAGTCTCTCCCTGGCAGGGTAAATATATTTCTCCCCCATTTAAAAAAAAAATTCTTTTGTTACATGTTCTTTTAGGACATTTTTAAAATATTTATTTATACTTTTATTTCACCTGTATTATTTTTATAAATAACTCAAGGTGTGAAACACTCCTCCCTCCTCAGTTATTAAATCCTTATCCTCCTTGTCTGGTTAACTGATACACTGCTTGAAATAATTTACACCATAAAACAAGGGTGGAGAACTATGGCCTTTTTATGACTTGTGGACTTCAAGTCCCAGAATGCTGGCTCAGGAATTCTGGGAGTTGAGGTCGATAAGTCATAAAGGGGCCATAGTTCCATACCTCTGCCATAAAACCAGATCCCATTATAGCCAAGGGCATATAATGTCTATAAGTTTTCAATCACTCGCTGCTTTGTTTACATAATTTACATAATTGTAGCATAAATTACAGAAAGATGTATATAAATCATGGTTCAATCTTGGTAACTTTAAGACTTGTGGATTTCAACTCCCAGAATTCCCCAGCTACCCATACTGGCTGGGGAATTCTGGGAGTTGAAATGCATAAATCTTAAACTTGCCAAGGTTGCACACTCCAATATAAATGAAATAAAATATGGTTTAATTTAAATTCAGGTTTTCTCCCTTGCATCCAGAGTTGAATTAATAGAGATCCATAAAATAAAAAGTTTCATTACATTCGATGGCAAGTTAGTTATCTTCAATCTGTTTATTTGCTTATGCCTTGCTTTACTTTTACCTCCATACTCCTGGCAAGCCAGATCACATCCCTTAGCAATTTGCCCAAATTTACAGTTAAAATAACCAATGTACACATACAATGTTGGAAGAGCAAATTCATAGGGCAATAGTCCAGTGAATAAAGATATTGGGACTGTAATTGATTATCATTGAACTTGAATAATGCAATTGTAGGAAGGAAGAGAAGACTAAATTTTCCTGAATGAATATCAGTATTGAAATGGATTTGGGGCATTCCAAATTAACAGCATTTTGTAGACTATTAAGGAGTATTATTAAAGTCAATATTATTATATGCAAGAACTTCCAAATAAACCATTGGACTATCTTATTTTAATAAAAAAAATAAGAACAATGGTTGAGGTTTGTTGAAAAAAATGGTATAATTTCTTTTTTCTTAAATTGAGATTTATATATCCACTCATGCTCAAAAGGCTGGCTGTTCTGTTCAGTTTGCAGGAATTGTAAAATGACGGAGGGGAGGGGACCTTAACGTATGATTATGAATTTAATATCCGTATGTTTGTTAATACACTTTTCTTTTTGGGAAAATGAAATACGGTTTAAATTTGTGAATTTCATTTGATATATGAACATTTATTTATTTATTTATTTATTTATTTATTTATTTATTTATTTATTTATTTATTTATTTATTTATTTATTTATTTATCGGACTTATATGCTGCCCTTTCTCCACAAGGACTCAGGGCGGCTCATAGCAATAAACAACAAGAAGTCCAAATTCAAATTCAAACAATAAAAGAATCTAAAATTCCCATTAAAACCCCTTCAGTCCAGGCCAGCCTGGCGAAACAACCATGTCTGAAGGTCATGGTGGAAAAAGCGAAGGTCGGGGGCCACCTGGCGCTCCAAGGGGAGCTGATTCCAGAGGGTAGGTGCGCCTACAGAGAAGGCTCGCTCTCTAGGGGCCATCAGCCGACATTGCTTGGCCGACGGAACCCCAAGTATACCCTCTCTGTGTGAGCGCACCAGGCGATGGGGAGCTGTTGCTAGCTGCAGGTGATCCGCCAGATACCCCGGGCCTAAGCCAAGTAGGGCTTTATAGTAATCACCAACACCTTGAACCTTGAATAATATTTAAGTATTATACCTGATGTTTTCTGCACTGGAACTTTTGATTTTTGTAATAGAAAATATAAAACTGCATTCTTATAAAAGAGAATTATGAAAAATCCAAAATGTTACCCAGTCAACAGATTCTATGTACAACATCACAGTATTTAAAATGGCCTAAAATGTAGGTTAAATTTAAAGGAAAGTAAAATTAAAATGGAATCCAACTTACATTCTTTAGTGTTTGGAGGCGCCATAGAACATGAGTAACAAACCATCCCATATATATTCCGAGGCCTGTTTTCTAACATATAATAGCTGTAAAAAAGGTCAAGACAAGGAAAAACTAATAAAACTGGGTTTACTGATATTAACTATGGTCTGAAATAATTAATTACTGTGTAAACACCATATTTTAAATGCTTCAATATTATCTATTTTCCTTGCTTGACTAGAAAAGGTCCCTTCTCCACTGCCTCACAAGATTAGTGAAATCAAGCTTGAAAGGTCCGTGGGATGACTGATATCAGTCTAATCCAACATACATTTGTGCACAGCATTTGCAGTAAAGTTCAACACACGTTTCTAAAATTAAATATTTTCTGCACTAGAAATTTCTGGCAGAGGTAATCTTCCAGACAGATCCTGGCCTTAACTGACACAAAAAAAAACTGACACAGTTTGGATTTTATGCAAAATTTAAGTGGGAAGGAATTTAAGATTTATTCCATATATCCATTCCCATTTTGCTAATGATAATTATATCAAGGCAAGACAACAATGCATTCATGTGGCTTAGGAAACACGTTTTATGTGCCTTTATGATGCTTTCTCCCTAGCTTCAACTGCTCCTCTGTTACTTTTAGGAAGCAAAACCTGAAATAACATTATGATGAATGCTAAGCAAAAAGTCATTTATTTGTAATTAGGAAAAAAAAATATATTGCTACTCTACTAATTGCTTTGGATTGGACCCAGAATTAGAGAAGGTCAATTAAGAATTGGGAAAGTACTTAAGGTTGCAAAACTCTGGATAGCCATGAGATGGCAGCAAACGAATACAGAAAACTGATTCCTATGTCATCTAGTGGTCAAGAGCCTGGTGGCGCAGTAGACTAAACTACTGTTAAAGTAGTATTTAGCTTCCAGCTGCCTGCAATTACTGCAAGTTCAATTCTCACCAGGCTCAAGGTTGACTCAGCCTTCCATCCTTCCGAGGTAGGTAAAATGAGGACCCGGTTTGTGGGGCCAATAAGCTGACTTTGTATAAAATAGAACACTGCTTAGGGGGGCCCAAAAAGCCCTACTAAGCAGGTATATACAAAATTATGAAGGCTATTGTTTAAAAGCATTGTAAGCCGCCCTGAGTCTCCGGAGAAGGGCGCCATATAAATCAAACTAATAAATAAATCTGGATTTATGGCGGTCTATTTCTACTGGGTGGAAAAGAGCTTTATTGGCAGGAGTGGCTCATGAAAAGACCACCCTCATATCTGCCAAAAAATGTGCCTGGCTTTGGAAGCACAGAACATCCTCATGTCACTTCTTACTTCAGTTTGGTAGGTAAATTAGGCTTAAAATCATCAAGATTTAAGCCACGACTACTTTTTCACATTGCTTGCTATGTGAAAATAAAAGTTTCAGATCCAAAGATCAGTAGTGGTTTCTATTTTTAAGGAACAAGCAGGTGTGCATTTGAATTGATATTTCATTTGCTTTAATAATCTTGTTTCCTTCTTTAACACAAATCTTTGGGGCCACCTTTATTACCTACGTACAGATAACTATCATGCATTTAAGTGAATGCAGAAAAATGGAGCATGCACAGAATGAAGACTGTCAAGACTGTAATTAAATCCTTACCCAGGGAGACAAGGCCCACATTCGGCATCATTTTCTTTATCTCCAGGTGTCATCACTGTCGCCCGAAAGAAACCTTCACAATCTTTGTGTCTCCGGCAAATATGATATCCACCTTTAGAAAATTTTTCTGATGGGCATGGGATGCAGCCATAGTCTTCATCTCTAGTGCCATACCCACATGTCTGTGAGAACAAGAGCATTTCAAATAATCCAATTTTTTTCAATGACTTTTACAAACAGATGGAATTGATGGCTCTTCCTCCTTTTCCCCACTGGATAGCCATGGCCTTAGCAGATTGCCTGAAGATTACTTTGGTAATCTCTGCTTTGCCTTCCTGATAGGATTAAATAAGAATCCAATCTAGAACAAACTAGAGTGTCACTGCGTTATGTATTTGTCAGCCAAGCTTCCATCCTAAAATTTACGGTAGCCTGCCAGAGAACTTTATCACATCTCTGTAGCAACAGAGATAAGACTGCCTTCTGATTTCTTAGCTACTGCGCATGTCCAAGTTTAAGGAAGAAACTTCCTGATCTTTTTCCTTTGTCCGTCTGTGATAAAACTGCCGGTAACAACGTAGTTAGTAAGTTTGTTTTATTTTTTTTTAATAAAATGTTTCTTAGAATATATTTCGGGTTTTCTTTCTTTAAAGTATACAGCATGGAAAAACAAGATCCATCCGTCTCTAATCAAGTGCAATTACCCCAGGGGGGAATATTGACACTTTGACATCACAGACGAACAAAGGAAAAAAATCAGGAAATTTACCTCCTTAAACTTGGACATGCGGCTGCTGTGGCTGAGGCTGCTGTACTCCATCTGGGATACCCAGATCTTTTAACTGTGCTGTTCTCCAAATTCAGTTTTGAAGGAAATATGAAGAATGCCTGTAATCAGAGGTGGGTTTCAGCAAGTTCTGACCACTTCTGGAGAACCAGTAGCGGAAATTTTGACTAATTCGGAGAACTGGTAGTAAAAATTCTGACTGGCCCCGCCCCCATCTATTCTCTGCCTCCCAAGTCCCAGCTGATCGGGAGGGAATGAAGATTTTACAGTATCCGTCCCTTGCCACGCCCACCAAGTCGCACCCACCAAGCCATGCCATGCCCACCAAGCCACACCCACAGAACCGGTAGTAAAAAAATTTGAAACCCACCACTGCCTGTATTCCTGTGAAGAAAGACCTGGCCTGCCTTTCCTTGTCTGTGACTAGTCTAATAAAAATAGGACCCTTCTTTGGGGTGGCACCTAGTCTTTGCAGAACCTCTCTGCCCTCCCACCCTCCAGGTGTTTGTGGCTGGTTTCTTGTTTCTGGTAGACAATAATATTTGTCCTTTTTTTTTACTAAGCTTTTATGACACACATTTAATCTCATTTTAATCATAATGTTGACCTTCCTTTGCTTTTAAAAATATTCTTTAGCTCTTTGGGTTTTTCTTAGTACTGACACAGGAGTTCACTAATCACTCAGCACCACAGTTACCTAAGCTCAGGCAAGGGACATTTAAAACGTCACAGTCTTCGGTGTGAACATGAAGGGACCCTAGCAAAGGTCTTTTTCACTGTGCATTTGTCCTGCTTATTTGCATTAAAAAACTGAAAGGTGGTAAGGTACAAAGGATGAAAAGGGATGAAATATCAGGGAAAATCCTCTGTTCCTGCTGTTTCTCTGTAGGAGGGGTTTTAAGAATCTCTTACGTACCACTAGGTTTATGTAGGACAGAGTTTCATTCTCTCTTAGTCAAAATATGGTGCCCATTAAAAAAAATTGCTGCCAAGGATAATTATATTTCTAAGGCAAAGTAATTATGGGAAATTGCACTGGAGAGAAACTGTTCCTGCTTTGCTGGACTTACCAACCTTGTCTGAAATCCTATTTGGAACACGAAGGCTATTTTCTTACTTCATAGCAGTCCTGTGAAGGCTATTTTCCTGACAGTGAGGAAATTTAGAATAATGATACCCTGCACCACAGGGAAAATGACATTGTTCACTGCCATTGTCGAACAAGACTAAAAAAAAGTATACTTTTGTTGGCCTATGGATATGATTCAGTACAAATTTCTATTTTTATTTGGACAAATAAGAACATCAGAAATTGCCTTTATAGAAGAAGGCCAAACTTATTTAGTCTGATATTGTTTACTGCTCTGGCTAGGAGGAAGGATTCCTCATCCCCACTGTTTGTGTGTGTGTGTGTGTGTGTCTGTGTCTGTGTCTGTGTGCGTGCGTGTGCACATTCAAGGAAGAAGATATGGTCTTTCTGTCTTTCTCCTTATGGAACATCTCTATTTTCAACTTCTGCATGGAAAACACATTCACTACAGCAACATGAAGACAGAAGGAGCAATGCTTTTAAAAATATGTTTTATAGTATTTTGAACACATTTCTTAATAACAGTGTTGTCTTCTGTGATACATTTTTTAAATTGGCACCTTTAGAAGAAATGATCTCAAGAACATCACAATGATGCTCACCATATAAGGTTCTTCTCCTGGCTCACACTGTGGACACTCATGGCACATTCCAGTTGTCTGATTGTAATACTCATTTTCACCACAATTAGAATATTCAGCATTACCAGAATACACAATTGATGCCTGTATCAAAAAGTAAAGCTTGGTTATTCTATTGCCAGGTTGTCATAGTTATTTAAAAGCAGACATGATGGTTGGCTGAATCACTGGGCTTAAAATATACAACCCACAACCCACCTCCCCCAATAATATGGGCTACTGGACATTGAAGAAACTATCTCCCTTCAAAACTTGTCATGAATCTTCTAATCTTTATGAGCTGAACCTGATTTCATGATTTCACATTTTCTTGGAATAGAAAAGACTATAAATACATTTATGTCTACTCTTTATTTGACAGGCAGGCAGAAATATGAAGAATGTGGTATTTGGAGCAATGGCTAAATTTTAAAAATTGTCCGCATCTTATTTTGTTAAAATATGAGACATTACAATTGAGGGCATGTGTGAAGACATATATTGAGAACAATGGAAGTGAAAAGGGAGAAAATTAGATTATCAATGGTTGTAAGGTAGACTTCAAAATTAGAATAAATATAAAAATGGAGCCCATTTTTCAAAAATAAGCATAGAATTTAGCTTTCTTCATAAAATTATATCCCTTTTAAATAGAATGTAAAGCCTTGGATATTAATCAAAGACATATAAGTTTATATTTATTGCATACTAATTGTGGATCTGAAACAAGAAACTGCTGGTTTGTTTGAAAAATTATGTCTAAAATATCTAATAAAGAAATATTATATTTTAATTGTCTATAAATGCGATATAAAGGGCAATATTGTTTGAAAAAGATGCCCAAGGTTATTTCCACATTAATGGCTTATAATATCTTATAAGTGTCATTCATTTATCATTGTGCCAAATAATAATAATAATGCATACAAGATTTATATCACTTCAACGATGGCTGGGTGATGATATGAAAATATGATACAGGTGCAAAAATGACCAACTTTTCTGCAGAATGGGTATCTCCTTTCACAAATGCTATTTTGTTAAGTTATCTATTTGGCATAATTAAAAAAAGGTGAAAAGGATATGATTTTTAGATGTAATGTTTAAATTGCAGAATTATTTTATGTGGTTTACGAAGGACTCGTAAGTTTTATAACACTGTTTACAACATCCAGTTCCAAATTCCCCTTACATTACTTAGGCAGGTTGTTTATAACAGGGATCTCCAACCTTGGCCACTTTAAACCTGGAGGACTTCAACTCCCAGAATTCCCCAGCCAGCTGGCTGGGGAATTCTGGGAGTTGAAGTCCTCCAGGCTTAAAGTGGCCAAGATTGGAGACCTCTGGTTTATAAGTCCACCATGCATACAAATCAGAGGTTGGGGTCATCACCATGGAATTTGTGTGGGTTTTTTTTTTTACACTCATCAGTCCTTTTAGTGAGACCTAAGTTTGCTTTATTCTTATTGACTTATTAATATTTTCAGCTTCATTACAGACAATTGTCCATGAGAATATGATCAGATAGTATGACAGTCATTCTGTGTATAGGCAAAGCCTCATTGCATTTTGAGAGAGCCTCCATTTCATGCTCCCGGCATTTCAAATCTGCCAAGCTAGTCCCAAAAGCAAATTGAAGCAAAAATGCTTTTATTAACATAAAAGTACTGAATATTGTATGGCTTCTTAGTAACGCTTTTTAAAATTAGCTATCTGCAGCTATTGTTCTCAAGATCAAAGGAGTCCATTTCCACTTATTTTCAGAAGTTTTCTGAAGCAAATATTACATTGAACATAAGATAGCTTGGACTATGTAGCAGTTTCAGCATTTCAAAATTAAACGGATTATTTTCTTTTGAGAACTTATTTTTCGTTTGTTTCTTTTTTTATAAACTTCACTTATCCCCAAAGTAAGAGTGAAGAAGATGAAGCCCTGAATGATAATTCCCAAATCCTTTTTCCTTCTGTTAACTGAAGTTTATAAACTGGAGATTTTAAGCTTATTCCAGGTTCAGAGGATTACAGAATTGCTCTTAAAATTGCCCTGAGTTTATTCAAATCTGCTTTCTCGAAGACAAAAGGTTTGCATATGACTACATTCTCTAGCAGTGTGTAAGATTGATCTGCTATATTTACCTGCTATATGTTCTCTATTGCTTGAGGTCAAGACAAGAATACTTGAGCAATTTGTTTCTTTTACCAATTGGTGAAGTTATCATGTTGGAAATTTCTTGTAGATTTCCTCCTAAACTTGGCAGAGTTCATTCCCTATTAATCTGCCATTACTATTGCCTATTGAAAGATATTCTGTTTGGTTGAGTAGTCAGTAACATAAACCAATAACACTATGGCTTTTGCTTGTTTTCCTAACTTAATTTAATCCAGAGGTTTCTACAGTAAGCCAAGGTCATCTATCTGAATTTCTGAGCAAATATGCGTATTTTTAACATAGAACTCCTCCTTCAATTCCATTGCTTTTTAAGCACTATTGTAATTGCATGATTCTTGCCTATCAATTTGCTTTCCTGTAATGAGTTCAGACTCCCCCTTGTTTATTTTCCATGCTGTGAACCTTGATTTATCTAGACAGCGAAGGCCATGAACTTTATGAATCCATGTTCTTCTTCATTTTTAATTGAGCAGCTTAATAAGTCCCTTTATTGGATTTGATGCTGTAAAAAACTTTTTTTTGTAGTCTTTGTGAGAGGCAGACCATCTTGTCACAGCAGTCTATCATCCGGTAATACAAACCATGATTCCAGAAACCAAATCTCTTCCATCCCTTTCCACTCCTACTTCACAGAGTGGAAGAATGAAAGCTACAGGAGCTGCTAGGACATTCTGCTCTCTTCTTTCTCCATCTCTATCCAACACAAACCCTGGATTTTGTAAAAGTAATAAACCTTACATGTACTTTGTCAATCAGATCAACCTAACCCCTTGAGTTTCAACAATATTAATGATGTTTATGGGTTTGGTTTTTTTTAAAGACATAAAAAGGTGTTTTTAAAATGAAATATTCTGAAGTAGCTACATGGAAAATTTTGGTTCTGATTAATAAAGCACTAATGAATGGTTCTTTACTGTCAATTTGCTACAGTTAATGGATGGACCTGCATCTTATGCATTCAAAATACCTACTATGAGAAAAGGGAACATATGAGTCCATCTGCCTTCTCCCAGATACACCATATTATCTTGATAATTTATCTGAAAAGAAAAGAAAGATTAACTGTTATTGCAGGGAAAAAAGGTCACATTTAGAATGCTTTCTTATGCATATTACTTGGAAATCATTGTCATCGCACAATAAGAAGCTGCTATAAAAAGTTCTTGTTTTTATAGGAAAAGAATGGTTAAGCAATTCATTAGTTAAAGCCAAATTGTTCTAACAAGAAGCTTAAGGGACAAAGGATGTTATTATTTCCAGAGGAGGACACTTTTAATTAAAAGCACAATAGATTGGGAAGTGTCTCTCCTTATCCCAAGAGGCAGGGTCCCAATTTAACTGTGGATGTGTCCGCCCTCCCCAGTAAACTAGACAGGAAACACAACTAGATGTGCTAATCCTACTTTATTGTAAGGCTACCTTAACTGGCTCTTGCAAGTCTGAAGATACAAACTTCCAGCCACCACTTTTAACTGCTTGATCCATAAAAGTGAGTCCTTCCTAACAGTAGTGGGATTCAAATACTGGTTCGCTCGTGGGCGTGTGCATGCTCACACTCATGTGCAACACTTTGCACATGCACAGAGACATCCGGGCAGGTGGGCGGAGCCTTCCGCCACCGCCACTATCAGTTCACACAATCTGGGGCGAACCAGTAGCAACACACCAGTGCTTCCTAAATTTATTTGTCTCACTATTAAGCTGACGAAGGCTCTTCCCTGTCTTATCTGATTGTTTTCTAATCTAAGTACCATCTCTTTCCCTTTATCTCCAAGGTCATTCATAGATTCCAACACAGAATGAGATAGCAGACCTGGTTTGTATTATTAAAATCTGAATGGAAGAGAAGAGTTCTGTCCACTCAAAGTTTGGATGTGGCATTGGCCACCATCCCATTGGGGAGGAGGGGGGGGGCAGCTGTTATCATCCATGAAACTCTGCTGGCATCAAAGGCATGACATTGCTGATGCTTCCTGGTTTGAAGGATCAGATGGGTTTGCTTGTGAATTGTGTTTTGTGGATTAGTCTTCCTGTTCTATTGTGTTATCCTGGCCAGGGATGTATAACATGAATGCTGGGTTGGTAGTAAATTTCAACAATCTGATTGTACTTGGAAGTTTTAAGTTGCCTTCCTTGGTGAAAGATCCGAAATAGCCCAGGAATTCATGGCAACAATGGCAACGTGGATCTGATCCAGTTTACTGAGGGCACACACGAGAACTGATTTTTGGTTTGGGGCAGATGGAGGAGATTGAACTTCTCCCTTGTTATGGACAGACCATGTTTGACTGAAGTGCCCTGCTTTTCTGCGGGGGGTGGGGGGGATCTGTTAGAAAGGCCTGTCCCAAGCATCTAATGCAGGGGTCTCCAACCTTGGCACCTTTAAGACTTGTGGAATTCTGGAAGTTGAAGCCCACAGGTCTTAAAGGTGCCAAAGTTGGAGATCCCTGATCTAATGGATTTCTTGGATTTTCCGAGGGTCTAGGGGCGTTTTCTGGAGAGGTGATGGGCAGCTCAATCAAAGTATGAATTGCTAAATAAATAACATGACAGGCAGGCAGGCAGGCAGACTCTAGCATGAAAGTACTGCCAAAAAAACAAAAAGAACTCCCAGATTTAAAATACAAAAACATACCCTCTTTTTACCAAAAGCATGACAGACAACTGATTGGATTCATTAATTGTTTTTTTTTTCCTTCTCTCCAATGAAATTGTTGGGGGAAAGGGTGTAAAAATCCTGCCCTTCAGCAGATGAGGAAAAAAAAGAACACACTTTTGCTATAAAAGGTTTATGCTTCAGGGTTTTAACAAATTAAATATCTCTGATATTTGAGGTGTGGCTGTAACAGTGTGGTCTTTGCAGAAAGCATTAATTCTTTTTCTATAGATCTATTTTGAACACATCTTTTAAGTTATTTTCTGAATCTCAAGGCAGCATACAGTCACTTCAGTTTACATTACAGTGTCCAGTTAAATAATGGCACTCTCACACATACAGATACTTTTAAAATCAATACAGCTGATGTCATAAGTATACTACTGAACTACTAAGTAATAAACTCCCTGCATATGTTCCTTCTAGCAAGTAGACTAGCTCAGACAAGTTACTGTATAGATGGGGAGAGGAAGGCAAAGAATCTGATCTATCTATATACATAATTTCTTTAGAACACAAACCAACCCGTCAGCCTTTGAGTTCTCCGGAAATGAATGAAATACACTTTATATTTTCACTTGAAACCCGTGCAGTTAAAAGTTCACACTTTTGATTAGATGATGCCTCTAAAAATTGCTTTATCAAAGGGCAGACAGAAAAACTTAGTTTGGCTAAATATAGGTATTAAAGTACCTAAATATAGGTATCATTTCACAATCATATCATTTCTTATTTCCTTATATTCTTATACTTTTGAGAGTAGAATGATGTGTTCATAACTATGGAGGGAAAAATCTTATGTCTTATATAGCTTGCTCTATGTTGAAGGTTGTTAACGTTCCAACAACCATGCATTATTCCACCAAACACATTCTAATAAACGATTCCCAACAAGGGTACATTTACCTGTTTTTAGTTGTAGCCCAGGTGTGGAGGCTGGTACATAAACATTGTCATGAAGATTGATTCTACCCTATGTATATAAAGTACACAATAAATTCAGTATCTTTATATATATATATATATAGTATGTGTGTGTATACAGTATATAATGTACACTATATTATAGTGTACATTATATACTATATACACTAAGCGCTCCATGGCTTAGGGCTGGGGTACTTACGGGACCGCCTTCTGTCACCGATTGCCTCCCACCGGCCGGTTCGCTCCCACAGAGAGGGCCTCCTCAGGGTGCCGTCAGCCAGACAATGTCGGCTGGCGACCCCCAGGGGGAGAGCCTTCTCTGTGGTGGCACCTACCCTCTGGAACGATCTACCCCCAGAGATACGAGTGATCCCAGACCTCCGTACTTTTCGTTGGGCCCTAAAAACTTACTTTTTTCAGCTAGCCGGGTTGGCCTGATTCCATGTTGGTTTTAACGTTTGATACTGATTTTAATTGATATGTTTTAAATTATGGGCCAAATTTCATTTAATTAGTTTTAATAATTATTTTAACTTTTGTATACAAATGTTTTTATTTTGGCTGTTCACCGCCCTGAGTCTGAAAGGAGAAGGGCGGTATACAAATTTAATAAATAATAAATAAAATATAAAGAAGAGGAGGTCAACTTATTTTCCAAAGCATCAGAAGGCAAGACAAGAAACAATGGATGGAAACTAATCAAGGAGAGAAGCAACCTGAGATTAAGGTGAAACTTCCTACCTTAACCAGTGGAAACAATTAACCAGTGGAACAGCTTGCCTGGTTTGTAGGTTTTAAGAAAAGACTGAACAGAACCTGTCAGAAATTGTATAGGGTCACCTCCTTGATCAGAAGGTTGGACTAGAAGACCTCCAAAGTCCCTTCCAGCTCTAGTCTGATTCTAGATTCTATCTCTGCAGACCATTGGCCTCATTCATAAAAGATGTAGCTATCTGGCTGAAAGCAAGCAAATTAACTTTTATTAACTTAAATTTATTAACTACTGATTTGCCTCAGAAATAAGTGAGACTTGATGAAGACTGTACCACAGTGTTCTTATAACCAAGGATAAATTGTTCTGAAGCAAACTTGCTTCTAGCAGGAAGAGTTAACAATTCAACTCTCATCTTTCCACCATCCTCCTACATTGTCAATAAGAAAGAAGCAGGCACTCTTGTGTTCGTCATGTTTGCCACTAATATGATCCAAGGGCCAGGCAGGGGTGGGCAAATGTGGCTCTTTTACAACCTGTGGACTTCAACTCCCAGAATTCCAGAGATAGCTTGGCTGGCTCAGGAATTCTGGGAGTTGAAGTCCACAGGTTGTAAAAGAGCCACATTTGCCCACCCCTGATCTAAGGCTAAGCAGTCAAGGTGAAGGTATATACATTTTCTTGAATACCTTCATCAAATCTTTCTAGCCATGTCCACAGAATCTGATTAAATAAGTCAAAGAAAGTCCCAGCAGCTTCCTTAAGGTAGTTTTGTGTTATCCTTGATTATTTTTTTCTGGCTTAGAAGAAAATAAGGTGTATTATGTAAACTTAGTGTCTTTTGAAACTTTATCAGTGACTTTATACTCAGCTTTTGGGTTCAATTCAAAGTACTATTACCTATAAATCCCTCCTTGGCATAGGGACTGGCTATCTCTTCCATTGTTTCTGCCCACCTAGTAAAATCTAATCAGTGTTTCTGTCCCATCCATTAAGCAATTTCATTTGACGGGGATACAAAGAGCCTCTTCTCTGTTGTGGTTCCTTTGGAGTAGAATTTCCTTCACATCTGAGGTTAGGACCAGTGGGACCTTGCAAGCCTTTAAACAATTGTTGGAAATCCCCCCTCCTCTGAATTCTGGAATAATTTGGGGTGTGCCCATCTGTCAGTGTCAGTTTCAATTAGGTTATGTCTCCCCATCCCCGTTATATTTATTTTAGTGTTATTTTGTTTTGTTTTTAGATAATGTATCAGCACAATGCAATACACCACTCAGAGTCAGTGACAAGTTTGTTGCTTTCTAAATTGAAATTATAAATACAAATACATAACAGGATAGCAGAGTTGGAAGGGGAATTGGAGGTCTTCTGGTCCAAGCCCCTGCTCAAACAGGAGATCCTATATCATTTCAGACAAATGGCTGTCCAATCTCTTCTTTAAAATCTCCAGTAATCAAACACCCACAACTTCTGGAGGCAAGCTGTTCCACTGGTTAATTGTTCTCATTGTTAGGAAATATCTCCTTAGTCCTAGGTTGGTTCTCTCTTTGATCAGTTTCCATCCATTGCTTCTTGTCCTTTGGAGAATAGGTTAACCCCCTCTTCCTTATGGCAGGCCCACAAATTCCAGGAAATAATCAAGGACAGAAGGAACCTGGAATTAAGGAGAAACTTCCTAACTGTGAGAACAATTAACCAGTGGAACAGCTTGCCTTCAGAAGTTGTGGGGTTCAGTGGAGGCTTTT